CCACTGGCAGCTCTCCAGCTCAGGAAATTGGCCAAGCCCCATGCAGCGTCCCTGCTGGATGGCGTGCCCCAGTGCCCCTCACTCTTCTTCTTCTTCAGAGGACAATTAGCACACAGGCTGTTGTGCTAGAAAGCCCTCTTGCTTGCTCAGTCTTGAAAGCAACTGTGCAGTCCTCCAAAGAGTCAAATTTACTTTCAGGTAGTAGAGTCATAGGCTCAAATTCATTCTAATTTCTTAATAATGTAGGATTTCCAGATGGAATGAAGCTTTTCTTTTGAGGAAACTGAGGCAGTGAGGAGTGATTTGTCCAAATGTGTTTGACAGAGTTGGGAAGATAATATTCTGAGTGGGAAGGAAGGTGACTTTGAAGATTTCTTATTAAAAGCCTCTAACACAGTTCCTGGGTCATTCATTTGTTTATTCAACAGAAATATATGGGACACTCATTATGTATCACATAATTTAGGGGGGACTGGGCACTTAGAGGAAAAGACAAAGAAAGCTCTGTCCTCTGGAATGTATTGTCCAGTAAGGACCATACATGACTCATAAGTAAATGACTTAATTAATTACAGACTTTTACTGCAGCTATGGAGCAGACTAAGTAGAATGTAGGGATGTAGGAAATGACAAAGGCACTGCTCTTTATCAAGAGATAATCATGAGGACCTAGTTGAACCTGACTTTAGGGAGGTTGAATGTTCTAGCCTTTGGCAACTGCAAGTACCAAGGCTGTGATATGGGAACAGAAGGGTGTGTTATGTGACTAGGCAGGTACCTCTGAAGTGGAACACTGGAGGCTGCAGCCTCCTGCAGGTCCTGCAGACTTTAGTGTTGTGTATTAAGAGCACGCCAGTACATATTAGATGAAATTAGTGTGATCTCTGAGCTTTAATTTTAATTGTAAAAGAGGAATAATATCAAGTATGTCAAGGGTTACTGTGTCAGCTAAATGAGATGGTTGTTTATGTCCAGAAGCTAGCTAGACACAAGTGGAGAGTTTCATGTGTAGTCTTCCTTCATTCTCTAAGTTCATCTGCTATCATCACTTCCATGGTGGAGTCACTCAGTGTGAATGACAGTGGATGTGTGACAGGTAACTAAGAGTCAGCAGGAGAAGAATGGGACCTGGAGGAAGTAGAAGTGAGAAGGAGACAGGTTTTCACACCTCAGGCAGGTGAAGCAGAAGGCAGCATCTTCTCAAATACCAGGACACATTTGGGGAGGTAGTTTTGGGATAAGGGAGGAAGAGGACACCATGTAACCTGCTGGTTGGTAGGGCAACTCTCTGATTACCGAAACTTCTGAAGACAGTTCGTTCATATGAAAGCTGTACTCCTCTGTAGCTTAATCAAGTCTTGACATTTGAATTTCGAACTAATTTTTGAGAAATAACTTTTCAGATTCTCATCATATAGTACTTGTTCAATATGAATAGGAATAATTACTTTGTTACGTGATTAGCATGCCTAAGAATAACTGTAGACTTTTCTCCATTTTTTTGCTTTTAGATAAATGTCAAATACCTTCTTTAAAGTGCATTTAATTCATGTTTTTCTTAAGAATCATTAAAAAGTGGGAAAAGGTGATGAAGGTGCAAGGAAGCACAGGAAGTGCATGTGAGGAGACAGCCAAGTTGACCAGGCACAGAAAATGTTCTCAGCAGTGATTTTCATACCAAAAAGTAAAAGCTGTGAATTCCAATTTTGTTTAAAGGAGCCCCACACCAAGTGGTAGAGTTTTTCCCAGACATTTCTGGCAGGCTGTTTCAGAATGGTTGTCCATTCTGATGGAGAGACCTTCTTGGTAAAATCAACACACAGGATCTGAGGAGGGTGGTTCCTCAGAGAGTGACCTTGGATCAAACTTACTGGGAGGATTGTTTGAGCTCACATGCCGTGATGGCAGACCACGGTGAGGCCCTTGGTAAAACAGATAAGACTTCTTCCTTCCTTTCTTTTCCTCAGTAGAAAGATTCATTGAGTAATGAACAGAGTCAGGACCCAGAACTCCTGAGTCCTCTGCCTCCTAGAGACAGCTAGAGGCAGAATCTCTGTCTTTGTTTCTATAGGTTGTTGCCCAGGGTTAATGGAATGACTTAAACTGAATCACACAGTGGTTAAGTCACATTTTGAACAGAATAGGAAGTTTTAAGGTATCTAATATAATTTTTCAAGTATAAGAGGCTCTGTAGGTCCAAATGTAACCCTATTAATCCAATGTGGGTTCTCTATAGTGACTGCAAAATGAGCAATGGATTTTCACATGCAATATGGTAGTGGTTTCATGACGGAACCTTTCAAAAAGCATTCTTCCCTCCAAAGTGCTTGCAGTTCATCAGTCTGGAACAAAAACTAGATAAGGGGTCTCTTTTGTCCCTTCCACCAAGTCTTATACTAATCTTACCACTGAAATGATTAGGAAAAATAAGGATGAAAGATAAGACCAAGGATGGAGGGAAAAGTGTTTGTGTCAATAACCAATGAAAAGCTGAACTAATCTCACTTCCTCTTGTCCTCACCAGATAGTTCTTGGGATCACTTTTCTTCAAGGTTTCGTTTTTGCCTTATTGTCTTTTGGATGATGTACTCTCTAGAAGTCTAGGGGAGAGCTACTTCTATCAAAGGGACACTGTGTTTACAATTATGAAAATGAAGGAAAAGCCTTTCCCCAGGCCCACCACACAACTCTCTTGCGTATTTCAGGCCTATTTTTGGGGACAGAGGTGGACAGTTATATATGAGCCAAATGGTATATTACAAAGAAAAGTCTCATTAGCAAATGATTCTCTTAAATGTAACAAAAGCCCCCAACCCATTATAACAGCCTCTTGGGAAGGAATGTTTATTTACATTTTTACGGCTTCACATAAAATCTGGGTGTTTTTCTTGGTTCGGATTCACACTCCATTACATCCTGTAATGAATTGCATTAAAATTCTCAAATGGGAAAAACTCTCAAATGAAGCCTTAAGATAAAGGACTAATGATTATATTTATTTACCTTTAAAGTTATTTAGTTATTGACATGATTGCAACATGCGTGTTTCCTTACTACTAAGAGAGAATTATAATATCTAATGATTTGGTAATGCAATTATTGGGTAGAAATGAGTGACAGAAACTCTCATCTAATCAGAGAGGCAACTTCTCATGGTGGAGAAAGCACTGGATGTGTTTGCCTCTTGCCTCTTGCTGCATGAGAGGATTAGATGTATTGATGTTTGTGATTATTTCAATTGTAACATTAAATATGTTCTATGACTCTATATTAGTCTGTTTTCTGTTTCTATAACAAAATACCCAAGACTGGCAGTTTAAAAGGAAAGAGACTTATTTATTGTGCAATTTTGGAGACTGAACATCTAAAATTGGGAGGCTCCTTCTGTTTGGCCTCTAGTGAAAGCCACATGGTCGGTGGCATCACAATACTTAAGGCATGTGTAGAAGAGTTTGCATGGTGAGACAGAAAAGAAGCCAGAGAAAGTCAGAGGTCAGGTGTGCTCTTTTTTAAACAATTCACTCTTCTGGGAACTAACCAGGGCCCCATGAAAATTATAGTCATTCTTTCTGGGGTCAGCACCCCAATGGCCTGACTACCTTCACTAAACCCTACCTCTTAAAGTTTCTTCTACCTCAGCACCACCACACCAAGGATCAAGTTCCAACATATAACACTTTGAGAGACACACTCAAACCATATCAAACTATAATAGATTCTAAATAGAATTTTTTAATGTAATCATTCAGTGAATAACACAAACATCTGGTTGACTTTCTTGACTGTGTGCTTCCAGGGCAAGTAACTTTTAATTCTGAACTCAATGACTACAGAAAGTTGCTCTTGCAAGTATGAAGATAGAGTAATAGAGTCAGGACAGATGACCATTCAAAGATGGCTCTTGCTAGTGGTTCAGAGATTGACAGTTCTCATTTGAATGGAGTGACTTGTACTTAACGAAATTACTGCCCATTAACACCATAGCAACCTCAGAGTTTTTAAACTAAAGAGTACAATAACAGCTTACATTATTTTAGATAAGAATAGTAGCTTATGTGACAATAACTAAGTACAAAGAATTACCCATGAAGTCATATAAATATAACTTGGCAATTTTTTTGACTTTCCTCAAAATTTAACCCCTTGACCTTTAATTACTGCTTCTGTTTGAAACTTCTGTGCTTTCCAGATGTACATTATAAGTTGTTTAGCAGTATCCCTGGCCACTACCCTCAAATTGTCAATACAGTGCCCTAGTCTCAACTATGAATCAAAATTGTCTCCAGATATTGCCATAAATCTTTGGGGAGCACAGTCACTCTAGAGTGAAAACCAATAGTCTATGCTTTATTTTTTTTCTAATTCTGAATTTTGTTTCTTGAGCATTAGAGTAAGTGTTCAGAAACTGCTACTCAATTATTGGTGTTATTTTTATTCTGCACATTACTAACATTTTTCATTTGTATAGGATTTCAAAGTTGACTAGGTGGTGCCACCCACATTATCTGTGAAGATGAAGGCTTAGCAGCTCATTGTCTATGGCAAAACAGGAAAGAGAAGCATCTTTTCTATTACTGTGCCTGTCCCCTTTCTATTGTGCTTGGAATCCTGCATGTTTGACCAAAAAGGTCTTGCCATGAAGAATGTATTTAGGATGAGCCAGGCATTGTGTAAATGATACCTGGCTCAGTTTTTTTTCAAGAGATATAAAGAAAAGAAAGACACGTTTAAATCATTTTAAAATGCTACCATATCCTGTCATCTTCTGCTGGCAGGATGCACATATCACCCAGCATATACAGAAGACCATTCCTTTACAACTAGAACTGGACTTCCTAACCCCTTAGCTCTTTAAAGAGTTCTGAAAATAGCAATCTTTAGGGTCCTTCCGAAGTGCTGTGGCTTTATCAAACTGCACTAAGTGAAAACCAGATGGCATTTTTGCAAAAGAGAAAATAACATTTTCCCCCGTTCTTCTACTTCCTGCTCAGCCCTCTTACCTGCTTAAGGATTTCAGCGGCTGTTTCGTGTGAACAATCAAATATCACATAGAACTCTTTGCCCTTCTTCATCTCCTTGAGTAGAGGCTTGGCATCTTTATTCCCAGAGGGCAGCTGGCGGATTTTGATTTTAATGTTATATCTGGAGGGAGCTTTGATGAGCTCTTGCAGACGAATTAGACCTGGAAAATGACATCCAATCATGCACCAGAGACTGATCTGTATTGTTTATTGCCATTTGCAGTCAAATGCAGATCATTCCCCAAATGTATCAAGCGGTCACCTACCTAAAGGTTACACTATTGACTTCCTATTTGTCATTCCTCTTTCTGTGGAAGATTGCTCTGATATTTTCCCTTTATGGGTATGTGTGGCTTGGAAACATAATTTTCCCAAGTGCATTTTGAATTTATTTAGAATGCAGTTGTTCTCTGCAGCTTCCAGCCAACACTTCAAACCTTTAGCAAATCACATCTGTGACTGTAAAACTTTTGTAAACAGAAAGTCGTTTAAAGTCTCTAAAGGTGCCCAATGAAATAGATAGCACCTGCTGACTAAAAAGCCAGAAGAATACAAGGATTTCTTGGAGTTTTGTGAACTTTTGTAAGCTTATCATTCAATATTTATACATAACATACTGTTTACCAGCTAATTAGTTGGGCTGTTTTAAATAACCTTTCAGTGTTGTCCAAATAAGCTGTTTATAAATGGCTTATTATATTTTGTGCTAATATGTTTAAACGTTGACTTGGAAAATCCTTCCTTGATTAAAAAGACCATAAAATATTTAGAGATTATGATAATAAATGCAGAAAATTCTTTGAAATTTGACTATCGGTAGTTGTAGCAAAATGTCTACAGCTGACTAAATTGACAGATGCTTGTTTCACCACAGGTGTGGATCTACTGAGCTGCACCATACTCTGGTGGAAGAGTGTAACTAGAGCAAAGCAAACGGTCATGTAACAGCTCCGTCTTACTTCCCCTAATGTTGACTGGTGTTTGCTACACTGAGTGATCTTTTCTCTCAGTCAAGGATTCTGCCACGTTGGAAAATTGACACTTTAAAAAAAAAGTACGCAGTCCAGTGCTTTCAGGATTTGTCAACTACAAGAAATCAACAGGGAATATAAAAGTTTACAAGTATTCAGGTGGAAATTGTGGAATATATTGTGTAAGATATTACTTGAACCAGCTATCTCCAGATTTGATACATATTTCTTTCTCTTGTTTTGTTTATTTAGTTATTTTTCCCCAGAAATCACATTTATTGGAACAGTTTCTCTACCATGATAGATAGGTTTGATTCTGAAGTATAGTAAATTTCCAATGATACTGCTTTTACTAAAAATGAGGAGAGGGTAAGGGGGTGATATGAGCACTTGGATCCATGTAGTTATTATTTGTTTTATTGGTTAATCCTTATAATAATCCAATAGCACAAGTGTTATTACCTCTATTGTTTTAAATGCTGAAACCGAGGCCCAGAGCAATTAAGTAACTCACTCAGAATGGCAGAGATAGCTAGCAGGAGCCATAGATTAAAATTGTTATTTATGAGTCCAGTGCTTAATCTTTCCACTTCACTATCCCACCTTATAAATAAGTGTTATTGGTGCTGAGGGAGCAGATACAGTTTAGGACTGTTTGATGAGATGGGGAAGAAATAGAATCGGGACCCATTTTCCTTTCTTCCTTTCCCTAGGCTTCTTGCTTTGTGATTACATACTTCTTTTTCTTTTTTCTTTAACTTAAGCATGACCACAAAGGAGAGCTCAATGTGGCCTTTAAATAAAATGGGAAAAACATTTTAAAAAGTGCATTTCATATGCTGCAAAGAACTGCTCTTTTGTTCTTTGCTGAGTAGAATGTCAATCTTGAAGTGCCTCTTCCCATTCAGATGACTTACACACACTCTCATGGCATTTAAAGTTGGCACACACTTTTTTACTTCACTCATTCATTTGTAGGGGAAAATAGTTCCTGAATGCTCATTAGATGACAAGCCCCATGCTAAGCCCGAAAAATAAGTACATCCTATTTCAAGGTCCTTGGAGGCCATAGGAGGTTTTCATACCAAAAACTCACATGAGATGGATGAGTTATCAATTACCACTTAATGTCATAGGTTCTGAACTGAGACTGCTGGAGGCTGGAGTAATGTGCTCAAGGTGAGGCAGTTATTAATGGCAGATTCAGCACTTAAAACCAAGTCTACCTTCTGACTCTAAACTAGGTCTCCTTCCACTAAATCAGTGGCCCTGTATCACTTTTGGATTTCAGATAAAAAAAATGAATGAATGAATAACTGACTAATTATAGAAATAAATAGTATTCAGATAAAGAACATTTTGGACCAACAAAAAGCACTAAACATTTGACACATGAGGACATTCATATACACAACCTCCCTCCCAGGTAAAAGTGATCATCCACTTTCACAATTGTTTCATAAAGGAATGTATGTATTAATACAAAGAAAGGAAAAAGGAGAGTAACTCAATACAAAAGACCAGTTTCAAATTGGAATAAATTTATCTTTATGAAAAAACTCAGCAAGATACCCTTCTTTTTTTCATTTTGCCAGTAAACAGGTAAATTGGTCTCAAGTAGATAGAGAATCAACAGATTTTAAGATTATAGACTCCAGTTGTGAGAAAAACAATGAGCAAGGAACAGTGATTTTACAGCTGTCTTCTTGGAGGAATTGTTTGCTTAAGAAAAGTCTTTCTGCTTTCACTAGCAAAAGGATATGTGACTTACAATTCAGTAAATTTTAGTTTACAGGAGACAAAATTTAGAGATAGCTTTCCCTTATATTTGTATTTTGCAGCAATCCATCAGTCATTTACATTTCACTGTAATGAATAGTTAAACTTATTTGCTAAACAAATAACTACTTCAGGGAAAGGACACTGACTTAGTGCAATACCCAGCTTTGCTGGCCATGCATGCTCCTGTGTTCGAATGTTCCCTGACCAAGTGACCAAACCCTCCCAGAACTTCAGTTGTAATGAATTGTAATGGTGCATGCAAAACTGGTTATGTGACAGTTTTCTAGCCCACTGAAGTTAGAGAGACTTTAAAAATGAAATTCAGATAAAGGGGAAACCAGAAAAATCTAAGTGAGTGATATTATAAAAAACCTGATCTCACTTTGACTTAAAAATATCAGTGTCATGGGTGATAAAGGAAGGCTGAACTGCTCTGGATCAAAGAGATTTACAACTAAATGCTAAATGCAGTAAGTGATCCTGAGAACAGACTTTATACATATGCATATATGTTATGTAAATAATATATAGCACATATGATTACACATAAGTATATATGTAAATAATGTGTATATAAATCCATATGCAATTAAATAATAGTATTATTAAATTTTGCATTTTGTAATCTGTGATTAGATAGCAAAGAAAGCCCTTATTCTTAGGAAATTCGCACTACTGTTCTTATAACTTTTCTCTCAGAATCCTTCTGAATAAAAATACAAAACATGCAGATATATAATACCAACAACAGCTTCCTTCTCCACACCCACCCCACTGCCAGGAACGCAACTGAAATTGCATCTTTGGTTTAAAAGTGCTTTAGAGAAAGGCCTGTTTATTTCACATGAGTATGAGCTTGGCTCTGCATATAGAGATAACTTTTAAAAATGTTCACATGGCCAATTCTAAACACTTGCTTTGGCCACTTATCTTCTCTGTGTGCTCAGATATGACATAGAAGAATGCTGATTTGCATGCATATTGAGTGACTCAGGCAAAAGGTGGAGCATGTAGAAGAGAAAAAAAAAAACAAAACCCTGCTATTTCCAATAGGTGTTTAAAATTTCCATGCCTTCTCCTTAAATAATAATAAATCTTGTTATTTACATTGTTCCTTTTTATGAAGTATGCCCTATGCCTTATAAATAGCTCAATAAACCCAGAATATACTTCTGAAGTGGATATGTGCCAGTGCTATTTCACAGTGAGGAAAGTGAGGCACAGTGAGGTTAATTGTCTGAATCAGCCCTGAAAATGAGTCACAGACACCAGAAATTCGACGGGACCTTAAAGATCAACCCCTTATTTGACACATTAGTCCCCTCCACACAGCTGCTGCTGAGCACTTCTCATTTTGAGAAACTGTCTCCTTTACAATCCATTCCTTGGTAGCTTTAGTTATATTTAATGAGTCTCAGTTCCAAGGCAATGTACACAGGCTTTCTTGAGTCTTAATTCAATCCCCTGGTCATTAAACCACATGAGTGGGTTTGATGCTGTAAAAATGAATGTAATAAACCATTGGGACCCAAAGATCGTACCATACCTTTTCAATGTTAATTTCTTTTTCATTTGAACTTAGAAACATGCAAAATGGCATTTCGCAAACTTGTGGGTTTATTAATATACCCAAATCTAATAGGATTCTGAAGGGGATCTATGCATAAAGCATGAATCCTCCAGAGGGGAGGAAAAATCAGACCTGAGAAATGCAAATGGGTAAAGGAGTGAATTATCAGGGAAACATAGCACTTTTAAATAGAGATCTTTGCGCATATGAGTTTTCAAAATCACAACAAAAAGTCTAATTGGTGACATCCCAAAAGAAAAATTGGGTCTCTTGCTCACAAAGGACCTTGTAAAAGAGTTGAATATTTGAGATTAAATGTGTTGCAGTTAGCATATTTTTGGTCCTGGATTCTGAATGATATCAATGGTAGCTAAAAGTAATAAACCTGGGATGCAATAGGTAAACAATGGGTTCCTGAGCAGAATTTCAAAATTTTAAGTGGACTCTTGTCAGAGGATAGGGATTGGCATGTGAAAGTTAGAAAGGGTGAAGGAAGAGAAAAGACAGAATTGTAACTTTCTTGTCTTATCAGGACTGAATATCAGGGACTTTCCATGCCTTAGTTAGTTCAGGTGGAATTGTGGGAAGGCAGATAGTGGAGGGTTTCAGCCGGCTCAGTAGTTATAGCAACACAGTGGGGTGAGATGTGACTGCTGAAAGTGAAATGATTGACTAATTCTTTTATTCAGCACCCTATACGGAATATCTTCCATTTTGGCTGTGCAACCCATGCTAAAACATTTCTTATTTTAATTCCAAGTTTTAGGCTTCTGTCAAGATTCTTTATTCATCATCTTCTTTCCTTTTCTTTGGGGGCAATGGAAAGAAAGATATTAGG